TAATGTCGGAGATTTGTTCTCCTATTGTAGTATCTTTCGATTCTCTATTTTTGTGCAGCCATTCTGACTAGTAAGGCTTCTCGCTTTTTATCTAATAATTCGAGAGCGGTAGTTATGGCCTAATTGTTCGAGCTCTTGGTGGTGTGTCGGAATCTAGCGATAGGTTCCCCGACCTCGATCGGTATCAATGCCTTGGCGCCATATACCAGGGAGGAAGGCATTCCCCTGTGCTTGATTTCAGAGTTGTTCGGTATGCCCAGAGCACTTCGGGTAATATTTCTCTACATCTTTCCTTTGCGCTTTCCAACTTATTTTTCTAAATTTTTAATGATGGTTTTGTTTGTAGACTCGGCTTGGCCGTTTGCACACGGGTTGTAGGGCGTCGATAGGATCCTTTTGATCTTGTGGTCCTCCAGGAACTGAGTCACTTTGCTTCCGATAAATTGCTTCCCATTATCGTACGTTATCTAGGAAGGAATTCCGAATCGACACGTGATTGTGGTCCCATATGAAATTAATGACTTCTTTTTCTCTTATTTTTCAAAGGCACGCGCTTCAACCCATTTCGAGAAGTAGTCAATCATAAATAAAATAAATATAGCTTTACCTGGTGCCGTCGGTAGAGGTCAGACGATGTCCATCCCCCATTTCATGAACGGCCATGGCGACAAAACTGAATGTAGTTGTTCACTAGGTTGGGAATCATTGGGGCAAATATTTGGCATTTGTCGCACTTGCGGACGAATTCTTTAGCGTCCTTCTCCATGATGTCCCAATAGTAGTATGCCCTGATTATTGTTCGAACCAAGGAATCGGCACCGGAGTGGTTTCCGCAGGTGCCCTCGTGGATCTCTCGGACCACATAGTCTGTGTCTCTTGGCCCCAAACATACTGCTAGGGGGCCATCAAAAGTTCTCTTGTAAAGTGTTCTGTTTTCGTCGATCGAGAAGCGGGCCGCTTTGATTCGCAGGGCCCTCGACTTCCTTGGGTCTGCGAGTAGCTTCCCGCTCTCCAAATAATCGATATATTTGTTTCTCCAATTCCATGTTAGGCTAGTGGAATTGATCTCGGCATGTCCTTCCTCAATCACTGATTTGGATAATTGAACCATAGATCTGGGGAGCATTTCACCTTCATCGACAGACAATCCCAGGTTTGCGAGAGAATCGGCTTCGTTGTATTCCTATCGAGGTATGTGGACCAGGGTCCACCCTTTGAAGCGGTGCAATGTGACTTGAATTTTATCTAAGTATCTTTGCATCCTGTCTTCCTGAACCTTGAAGCTCCCATTTACTTGATTTACCACCAGGAGGGAATCGCACTTTGCTTCAATAACTTCAGCTCCTAGACCGTTAGCCAATTCTAAACCTGCAATCATAGCCTCATACTCGGCTTCGTTGTTAGTTAACCTTACGGTTTTTATAGATTATCTAATCACGCCACTCGTAGGTGGCTTTAGAACTATGTAGAGTCCGGATCCTCTTATGTTCGAGGCGCCGTCAGTGAACATGGTCCATACCCTAAAAGATGCGCCCTTTTTTAACAAAAGTTCTTTCTCGACCTCGGGTGCGAGGGAGGGAGTGAAGTCGGCTTCAATGTCTGCCAAAATCTAAGACTTGATAACCATTCGGGGCTGACACTCCATATCATATCCCCCGAGTTTAATGGCCCATTTGGCCAGCCGGCCTAATAATTCGGGTTTATGCAGTATGTTTCGTAGGGGATACGTTGTTAATACACAAATATGATGACATTGGAAGTAGGGTTTCAATTTTTGAGACGCACTTATTAATGCAAGAGCTAGTTTTTCCAGGTGCGGATATCTGGTTTCGGCATCACCCAGGGTCCGACTTACTTAATAAACAGGGAATTGCATTCCTTGTTCTTCTCTAAACAGTACACCACTTACCGCTATGTCGGATACAGCCAGGTACAAATATAATATTTCACCCTCTTTTTGGGTGTGGAGCAAAGGCGGGCTTGTCCGGTATAACTTCAACTCCTCCAAGGCGCGTTGGCATTCCGTATTCCATTCAAAGTTGTTTTTCTTTTTGAGCAAGGAGAAGAAATGGTGACTCCCATGCGATGACCTTGATATGAACCGACCCAAAGTTGCTATCCGCTCGATCAGTCGCTGCACGATCTATACGTCATTTACCACCGTAATTTCTTCGATGGCTTTTTATTTTGTCGGGGTTGATCTTGGTTCCTCTGTTCGATACCATGAAGCCTAAGAATTTGCCCGATCCTACCCCGAAAGCGCACTTCTTGGGTTTGAGCATCATATTGTAACTTCTGAGGATGTCGAACATTTCCTGCAAATGAGTCAAATGGTCCTCTGCGCACATGGACTTAACTAGCATTTCGTCAATATAAACTTCCATGGACTTGCCTATATGATGTTCAAACATCTTGTTAATTAGGCGCTAGTATGTGGCCCCTGCGTTTTTTAGCCCGAAGGGCATTACATTGTAGCAGTACGTACCGTACTTCATGATGAATGAAGTCGTTCCTCTATCCTCGGGGTTCATCTGAATTTGATTATACCCCTAATAGGCGTCGAGAAAAGTGAGGGTTTCATGGCCGGTCGTGGCATCAATCAAATGGTCGATGTTGGGCTGTGGGAACGAGTCCTTTGGGCACGCCCTATTTAGATCATTATAATCTACACACATTCTCAGCTTATTCCCCTTTTTGGGAACTACCACCACATTGGCCAGCCATTCGGGATATTTTACATCCCTAATAGACCCTATCTTGAGGTGCTTCATTACCTCGTCTTTGATGAATGCATGCTTTATCTCGGACTGGGGTCCTTTTTTTTGCTTCACCGATTTGTACCTGGGATCGACACATAGTTGATGGGTGGTTATCTCCGGTGGAATCCTTGTCATGTCTAAATGGGACCAAGCAAAACAATCGATATTATTAATAAGGAATAAAATAAGTTTTTTCCTGAGTTCGGGGGTTAATCCCGTCCCTAGGTATACCTTCCGATCTGGGAGATGCTCGACCAACATGGCTTGCTCCAATTTTTCAACAGTCGACTTTGTCGCGTCCGATTCTTCGGGGGCAATGAAGGTTCTAGGAGTGAGGAAGTCCTCTTCATCATCCTCGGGGGTTTGTTGGCTTTCCATCTTTTCCGGGGTGGAGTGTATGGGAACCGATATCTCTTCATGGACCACGAACATTTCCTTCTCCGCATGTTGCTCGCCATACACTGTCTTTATTTTGTCTTTTGTTTGAAAATTCATCATCTGATGCAAGGTTGATGGTACCGCCTTCAGGTTATGTATCCACGGCCTACCGAGCAAGGCATTATACCTTGCGTCATCTTTAATGATGTGGAATCTGGTATCCTGAATTGCATCGGATATGTTTACCGGGAGGGTGATCTCTCCTTTTGTTGCTTCGCGGGCCATATTGAAGCCGTTGAGGATTCGGGAGGTAGGTACGATTCGGTCGAGTAATCCGAGCTATTCTACCATCGTCGATCTGATTATATTGGCCGAGCTACCAAGATCCACGAGTACACGTTTGATTTGAATGTTATTTAAGAGAAACGAGATTACCAGCGCATCGTTGTGTGGATGAGATAGAGTCTCGAAGTCTTCTTCGTTGAACGCGAGGATGTCCCTAGGTAACTGGCCCCAAGTTTGTCCTTGTGTTGCCGCGGCAACTTTTATCCGCTTGACCACGGGTCCCTGGGGAACGTCGGTCGCTCCTATAATCATATGGATGACGTGTTGAGGTTCTTCTACTTCACTCTCCCTGTTTGCCTTTCTTTCTTCCCGGGTGGGGTTCTTTTCTCGGGGTACACTCCTGTTGGTGTGGGAACTTACGCCAACGTGTTGAGCGTTGCATGAGACCATATTGACAGGAATCGGCTCTGGTGTGATCTGAGGGTTTTGTGGTGGCATACCAACACCTGCAATAGCTACACCGCTTTTCCTATGGTCCCCAAGACTGTTGTTCTTACGCGCGTTTATTGAGTTAGGCATTTCGACCTGAAATCGAAGATCTTGGACAACAAAAAAGCGTAAAAGATAACTTGCGTTATGTAGTAAACCGGCAAGAAAACAATCACTAGTATATTTGGCCCCACGGTGGGCGCCAACCTGTTTACCTTGAAAATGGTAATAACAATTAGATTTGATTTTGTGGTTCTAAAAATATGTGATCTATTTTTATGCTAGTTGTCAAGTAGTAGATGCTAAATGATGAGATTAGAAAATAAGATAAGAGATTGAAGATGGCTTTAGAAACCATACCAGACGGTTGAGGATCGGGGCCTCGAGCTAGCGCGTGCGGGGCCTCGATGCCAAGTTAGATGCCTAGCTAAGGGCGGCCGATGGAGGATTAACAACTATTATGGTTGATATTGCGGCTCTTTATGACCAATAACAACCAATAAATGAAGAACGATAAATGATATACAATAAATGTAAATAAAGCAATAAATGTAAGCAACAAAGCCGAATAGAGAGTATGTTTAAGTTAGAGAGCAGAAAGAATGTTCTTGTATTGAATGAAGTATCTTGTGTTTTTTTAGATGTCCTCTACAAAAAATGGTAAGGAACCCCTTTACATATGAGGGGAACCCTAATATGGTACAAGTGTATTTATTATATAAACAACCGGTACGATCACTCAATCAGCTTGGCGCAGGTTGTCACCGTTCACGCAGGCGTTGTCAGAAAAGGTACTGCTCCTAGGGAACTTCCCTCCCACTAGTGATAACCTCTAGTTCGTTCTACCCCGATATCGGGCAAGAAGAGTCCTCGAAGGCTTCGAACCCCGAGATATTCCTCGGTCCCTCGGGGTGACATTGCGCAATGCCTCGCCGATCGTGAAATCGGCCTTTCCGATTTTGGCCGCATACAAAAAGAGTTAAACTACATTGAGTGCAATGACGATGGAGATGTATAAATGGAAGCTCAAGCAAACTTCCATCTCTCTAAGTTTCTTTAAAATCTGTATATTCTCTTCCTTAACCAGTTCCTTCCATGCAAGGGAAATTTCCTAGAACGGAGTTGTCAATCTCTCCTTGATGTACAAACCACCACATTCGATGGAAGAGCCATTGGAGTTTGCATGCATCACAAGGTTGACTTTTGCATAGTTTAAATTGTACTATTCCCTCCATATAAATTTATGTGGCACACTTTCCTTATGAATTTGTTTAAAGACACATTAAAACTTTCCATCTAACTCATTTACTCTCGATGAGAAGTTTTTATATTCGCACAAATGGAAAGCTTCACAAAAGCTTTTACCCTTTAAGCTTCTAAGACCACAAGTTTCAAAAGTTTTTTAAAATTCCGTGCCAAGTCAAACTATGTCACATAAATGAAACAGAGGGAGTAATATAAACGAAGACTGAAGTGGGTTTGTCTCACATCGAAAGTCAAAAATGACTTAGGATTTTTGGTTTTTATTAAATTTAGTTTTTTAATTTGAACGAACAGGTTTGGTCATGACAAAAATGAACGTTATGAATAGCCTTCTTTTGACTCTATAAATTCGTCTGACTTTTTCTTTTAATCTGAATTTCTACTAACAGGTTGTTGATGCATCTGCAATGAGTGCTTTCTTGAAAACATAGGCCAAGCTTACCCAGGGTGAAGGTGATAAAACACTAGATCCAGACTTCACCTCAGCAATCTCTCTATTACCTCCAATAGATTCATTACCAACTAAGTTCATAAGGAATTTGGAGAACATCTATTTCCAAGGCTCAAAATCGCCAATGAGAAGGTTCTTGTTCGACTCCAAAGCCATAAAAGCTCTCAAAGCTAACACATCTAGCCAAGGTGTTCCTTTTCCATCTAAGATTGAAGCATTGAAAGCTTTTCTTTGCAAGCGGATTGGAGCTGCCTCTAAATTCCTTACGGATGCACCAAAGACTTTAGCGATCACACGTCGCAAATTTAAGGCCTCGCGTTGATCCACCTTTGCTGCAAAACTCTTTTGGAAGCCTTCTATGGATAGTATTTTCCTTTTATGACTCTTTAGATGCTAAGGGAGGTCTTTATCCGATTAAACGCGGAGAACATTAAATGTACTTTCGAATTACGTAATCATTTCATCTGAAAACGTATTTTTCGGAGAAAGAGCATATTTTTATTTATTTAATTCAGTTTCGTAATTATATATATATATATATATATATATATACATATACATATATATATATATATATATATATACACACACACACTTAATTATGTCTTCAACAGATATAGACAACGAGTCTACAATCACGTCCCTAAACGAGTTGTTTAGTGTGTCGACAAATGAGAAGATAAATATTTTCAGATTCACAAGCTGGTGCAATATGGGAATATATGATGTTATTTATTGTTGTGGAAAGTCTGTTTGGGTTGCTCATATGGAGGATTTTGATGCTGCAAATATCGATCCAAACATCAGTTTGTCTTTTTAGAAAGTGCATGCAAAGAGGGGATAGAGTCGTGGATTGCATCTGATGATGAAGAGATTAGCATTGAAGAAAAGGATCCAGAGTTTCTCACATATTCCAAGACAAATCCAAGTATTTGCATTATCTAAATAAATGGCTCATTTGGAGAAAGGTCCAAAGAATTTATCAACTTTCTACAAATGTTTCCTGGAACTGAGAGAGAGGTGTTATGCATCTTACTAAATTTTGCTGACATAAATGTTCTCTCTCCATTGTATGTTTTCTTGCATTTTGCATTATCTATTATGTGCTTAGTTTTCCAATAATATACTGCGGTATTTCAAATAAAGTAAGCATTTTCAATTAACTAGGACCAAATCCTTGTTTTAGTACTGTTGCTGGTATCTTTACTTATTAGTAGCGTCCTATTAAATACCTATAATTGTATACGGTCAAATCGGGCTTCCCCTTTTTGTATGATTAATTGAGATCGGGACGTGGCAGGCCAAGGTTCGACCCCATGTCATATCGGACCGTGATGCGAAATTAGATTGATGTAACGACTCGGCCGGTCATTTCATGAGTTACAACCCCATTTCCCGCATTTCTACTTCCTTGTGTGTTGCTCAGGTGTATTTGATCATATCGTGTTAGTTGTGTTGTGTTCGGAGTGGTCTTAAAGTGGAATGAGACACTTAGTCTCTTATTTAGCTGCTTAGGTTGGAAAAGTCAACCGAATGTTGACTTATAAGTAGAAGGTCTCGGATGTGAATTCTGACGGTTCGTATAGCTTGGACGTCTGTGGTAGATTTAGGCTAGAATTGGCGAAATTGGAAATTAGGAGCTTTCCGGTCTGTAGTGGAAATCTTGATATCGGGGTTGGAATGGAATTCCTGAAATTGGAGTAGGTCCGTTGTATCATTTGTGATGCGTGTGCAAAATTCCAGGTCATTCGGATGAGGTTTGATAGGTTTTGCATCGTTTGCGGAATTCGGATGTTTGGAAATCCTTAGGCTTGAATCCAAGGGTGATTTGGTGATTCGATGTTGTTTTGAGTGTTCCAAAGGTTGGAATAAGTTTGAATAGTGTTATATGGCTTGTTGGTATTTTTGGTTGGGGTCCTGAGGGCCTCGGGATGAATTCGGACGGTTAACCGAAAGAATGGACTTGGTTTGAGCAGCTGAAATTGCTGCTTCTACCATAACCACACCTGGGGATTGGGGACCGCAGGTGCAAGGTCGCAGGTGCATGAGGAGTCCACATATGCGGAGGGCTCGGAGCAAAGGGAAATCCGCAGGTGCACATAAAGGACCGCACCTGCGAGATCGCAAATGCGGGTGATGACCGCAAATGCGGATGATGACCGCAGTGAAAACTGCACCTGCGATGCTTTTCCGCAGGTGCAGCGTCACAGAAGTGACTTGGAGATTGCATATGCGGAAATCGCTTGGCAAAAGCTATAAAATCCTCACTTCGCGAATTTCTGCCATTTTGTTCACCATTTTTGGACGAGTTGCAGCTTGAAGACTGTTATTTCAATGAGGAATTAAGTGTTTTCAGTGAAGTAAGCTAATTGGACCATGTATCTTGTGTTTATGTGGATTATTTCATTGTTTAATCATGTTATTAGTGGAAAAATTATGGAAGAAATTGGGACATTAGGGCTTGAAATTGGAGAGTTTAAATTGGCGATTTTAGAGGTTAATTGAGATCCGATTTTGATGATTTTGGTATGTATAGACTCGTGATAGGATAAGGATTTTAGTGCTCTGATTTTTATCGATTCTGAGACGTGGGCCCGGTGGCCGGATTTGAGCAAAATCGGGATTCTGAGTAATTTTTGATAATTTTCGTGTGGGCTTTGTTCCTTTGGCATGTATTGATGATATGATTATGATTTTGGATCGATTTGGGGCGATTTGAGGCTGAGTCGAAAGGCAAGGGCATTGCGGAGTAGATTTTCGTCTGATTTGAGGTAACCAATGATTGTACATCTTGACCTGAGGGTATGAAACCTCGGAATTTCGTACTATTTTGATAACATGCTAGGTGACAGGCGTGAGGGCATGCACCCGTAGGGATTGTGACTTGGTCCGTCCCGTGGCAACTGTAGAGTTGCATATTTTGGTAAACTCTATATGATATCAATGTGCTTTAGAAATAATTCTGTTAACTTGGGCTGAATGCCATGTTTGGGGCATTGTGCCGTACTGTTTGGACCCTCAGGGGCATTTTACTATTATCCTCACATTTTTTTGATAGAAAGCCTTATCCTCAGTCATAGTTTACTATTATCCTCACATTTTTTTGATAGAAAGCCTTATCCTCAGTCATGGTTTATTTCTATTTATTTTTTGATCTTTTTCATCACTCTATATTAATCTATGAAAGTGTTATTGGGCTGAGTTCCCTGAGCTTGCACTGAGATACCCGAGTGGCTTGTGAGGCTGATGAGTGAGTGAAGCCGCGGGCCAGATTGTGAGATGGAGGCTTTGTATGGAGGAAGCTGTTGTCGTTCAGTTCGAGTTGGGTCGAGCCCTCGATCGCGAAGAGAGGGTCGAAGAACGTGTTTGCTGTTGGGACCTAGAGGGAGGTGTTCGAGGAAGCTGCAGCAAGGGCCTTGACTTTTCAGAGGAGTTGGCCTGAGCCAAGGTGGATGAAGGCGATGTTTGGCCACTCCTGGTGGACGTTGCAGAGGGCGTTCTTTTTTGACGAAAAATAGAGGTTCCGTCATTTCGTAACTTTGTTTCTGGCGCGCGGGGCGTGCCTGTAGGCGGAGAATGTTTTTGCATGTAATATAAGAATTTTTTTAAGGCTTTTGTTCCTTTTGTACCTTTTTCGTGTCGCTGCTCTCAATCGCACAGATCGGTTTTGGAGGTATTCTCCGAGTGGCACCATGGCTCGAGCTTGGGTAGGTCCTCCTGCTCCCATCGGCCATTGCGGGTGGAAGGCGGTCCTCCTCCGTGCTTCTAGGCCGGAACGATTTCATGGGTGCGTGTTCCGGGGATTCGCCTTTTCTGCCAATGGCGTATTGATAGCGCCGCTTAGGTCGTCTCTTTAGGCGTATCCGCTGTTGAATTATTCTTGGGTTCCACCTTCGGGTGTCTCAAGACACATCAGGCGAAGCGGGCAAGCTAAAATAACCTTTGACTAGATGGCCCAATGGTCAAAGGGTAACTATTTCGTGGCTTTTTGCCGAGGAGTATCCCGATCAGGTCAGTGCAGGGGGCTCCTTTTCCCGGAGGAATTGGCCCAAGCAAGGAGGACAATCGGGGAGATTGGTTGTCGTTTGCCGAGGCCGTAGAAGGCGTATTTTGACAAGCTGTTTTCCTTTTGGTACGGGGCGTAGACTTGACCGCTCTATAGTCAGAGGTCCCTGCAGAGGGAGAGGGCGAAAGATAGCGGCTTACTTTACTTGTTGGGGCCGAGCTAGAGATGGCCCTTGACTGCGTAGGCAGTAGCGGGAAATATGCAGATAGGGGGATTTTCATGGCGATTCGGGCCAACGACTATGATCCCTTGGAAGAGTTTGGATGGGCCAAGGGAGCGATGTTTGATGCCGAGTCCCTGATATCTTCAGGTTCAATCTCTAAGTCGTGTCATGGCTCGAGCTCCGATTGGCCTTCCACTTTCTTCCCGTTTGTATGAGAGGAGGGTGATGACCCTATGTGCTCCTGGACCGAAGCGTTTTTGCGGGCGTGTGGCCTGGGGATTTGTCGCGACTGTTGATAGCATGGTCGGGGCCGTGCTTTTAGGTGTATAGTGATTGAATTGCCCTCGGGTTCAGTCTTCGAGTTGGGATCCTAACTCAGGCTTATTTTACCTTCGAGCCCGTTTGGGCTGGCGATGATGATTTTCATTCTCTGCCTTTGGGCGTTTGGCGATTTTCTTGTAGCTAGTCTCCGAGTTAGGAGATAACAGTCTGCGTGTCGTACCTCCGGGCGTGCTATAATCCTTGGGTCCAGTCTCTGAATCGTGTCGTGATTCAAGCTGCAATTAGCCTTTGACCCTTTCGGAGGTTCCGGTTGGCGATAGTGCCTTTTTGCTTCCCACCCCTGGGCATTTGATGATCTTCTGGGTCCAGTCTCCGAGTCGCGTTGCGCTTCGAGCTGTAATCAACCCTTAAATTTCATCTGAGTGTTTGGTCGTAGAGACCTTTTGATATGAGGCCCGGAGGCTTTGCTTAGTTTAACTATTTTGGATCTGGTCTCCGAATCAGGTTACGATTTGAGCTCTCGTTAATCCTCAAGTTGTCAATTTTCAATTTGATGGTCGTAGAGACCTTTCGCTGTGAAGCCCGGAGGCTTTGCTTTGCCGGCAACAATGGCACCTACGCTGTTTGATGTGAGGCCTGGAGGCTTTTGTAGGCTTTGTTTTCCTCTCGTTAAGGTATTATTGATTATTTTGCCTGACCCATCATCGGTTCAAAAAGAACCTCGATTTCAAGTCGTAATCAGCGATGTTTTGAGCACCTCGGAAGGTTCGTAGCCCATAGGTCGAATAGATCGACGCTTTTTCGATTTTGGAGCCGACATGGTCAGGACTCATTTTTTGCCTGTTGAGGGAAGCCTGTGTTTTTACCGATTCTTTTCGCAGTAGGTTCGGAGGATTTTTTAGGAACAGTCGGGCGTCCCCGAGTCACGTTTTTTTTGGGCTGTAGCAGCCGTTCGACCGTAGTCGTGTGCATTTGGCCGGGGCCATTTTTGATCCCGATAAGCAGTTTTAGGCGTCCACACCGAGGGTATGCCCTTTAGGGATTCTTACAAATGCGACGTGTAACCTAAACTGCCGGATTTTTCATGCCTGTTGAATGACTTAGAACCAGAGAGAGATTTAGAGAAAGAGAGAGAGAGATTATATTATTGCTTTCTTTGTAAGACAATTGGAGATATCTACAAGGTGTTGGTGACCCTTCTTTTTATAGAAAAGGGGGCGTCCAAACTTAATATGGAATAAGCAATACAATAAAAGAATGAGATGTGACAACCTGCTTTTCTTGGGTTGTAGGAGAATTGACGTCGAGCCGTTTGGACAAGTCTCGTGGATCCCGGATACATCTCTTGGGGGATATCTTCGCTCATCAGGGTGTTAGCCGATGCCCGATCTGGGCAAGGCATCGGTTAGATCTCGAGGGAGGTGACGGAACCGAGATCCCGTGCATTGGGGATTTGTTCTTCGAAGCATTATGTCAAGGAAAAATTGGTCTCCCGATTTCCCCGCACACAAATGCCACACATTGAATGACAAAATCCAGACTTTGATTGACAACAAGATTGTATACGACAAAATCGGAGGGTCCAATTTCCCGTCATTAAAGCATTTTGGAAGATCGCCTCGAAGCCTTGAGGCTACAAAGATGCGCTCGAGTCT